TTGGAGCAGAGAGAAGTATTTTGGATTGAACATGAGTGAGGCTTTTGCTTTGAGCTCCATCCCAGGTCTTTTCTATTTTTCTCATTTTGAATCAGGCTCTCACTAAGTTTCCCAGCCTGTGCTCAAACATCTTCTTCCCCAGTTTTCCAGAGTACTGGGATCATGAGCATGTGCCACCATACCTGGTTTCTTCTCCATTTTTGATAGAGTTGTGGGTATAAGTAGATTCCATTAGGGGGGCATGGTAATGCATGCAGGTAATCCCAGCACTCAGGGAAGCTGGGGGAGGAGGGTCACGAGTTCAAATGCAGCCTGGACAATTTAGACCTCACCTGAGAATAAAAGAAAGAAATTAAAAAGGGCTGGGGAATAGTTTATATTCAATGCCCAGTACTGGAAAAACAACAACAACAGCAACAACAACAAAAACAAAGAACACTGAAAAGAAACAAAACATTATGAACAAACTACACAGCCAAACATGTTTTAGTGGTGACTTGTAGTTTAAGGCAGAGAAGACTTAAGAAAGACTTCTGCCTTTATCAACAGTGGTAATTTTTTAAAAAGAGGTATTCTTTTGGATAGCAGGGTAGTTAATATGTACTTCCTTTTTCCTGTGCACCTTCCTTTTTCTTGGCACCTTTAGTCAGTTTCACTTTATGTCTTTCTTCATACTGTGCACTTTGAAGGTATAGAAAGAAGGCTAGCTTACTACTAGGGCTGATCCTCTGCTCTGTAGTTTAAGAAATTTGACTCTTTTAGTCAGTATTTATTCAGCTCGGGCTGGAGATTTAACCCAGTGGTGCTGCTGCCTACCTTGCAAGAGCAAGGTCCTGAGTTTGATCCCTGGCACCCCCCAAAAAACAACTTTGTTCAGCTGTATGGACTGATTCACTAGGAAACTTGATACTCTAGTCAGAAAGTCAGTTTATGAATTTACCATGAGAGGAGGCTGGGTATGTAACTCAGCATAAGTATTCACATGGAAATAGGCCTGGGTTCGACCCATAGCACCTCAAACAAACAGAAAACTTACAGTGAGAAATTACTCAGTACTGTTTCCAGAAGTGCATCCTCTTCCTACAGGCAAATGTGTGGGAAACCATGTTATAATCCTAAGGTGTCTGATAAGCAGGTAATCAAAGCAAGAATTGGTTGATCTTAGTGGCTAGGTCCATTGATTCTGTGTAACTGTTTCTACTCTACATTTCTGCTATGTGTACTTGATATTGCTGGATCTAGTATAAGACATGTTTTCTTCTGAACAATACTAGGGATATACTACTTAACTTTTTCTGGTAGACCTACTTTTTTATAGGTGCTATGCAGATCAACCTTGTCATGTTAACAAATGTCATTTTGTTTTAAGAACAAAATAATAATACTATGTATTAATGATAAGCTGTGGTGGCACATGCACTTGGGAGGCTGAGGTAGGAGGATCACTGCAAGTTTGAGGCCAGCCTGGGCTACATAGTTGAGTTTAAGGCCAGCCCAAACTACATAGCAAGACCCTGTCTCAAAAAAAAAGAAAAAAAAAGGACAACAAAAACAAAAAACAAAAGCCCTATAAGCTTTCTTAGTTAAAAAATCGCAATTACACTCCTGTCACTTTGAATTCCCTTAAATTTCCTTGCTAAGACCCCCACCCCACCCCAGCGCTAAGGATCGAACTCCATCTTGAGCTTACAGGGCAGGCATGGTGCCACTGAGCTAAATCCCTGACCCTGATAAAATTTTTTTTTCTGTTACTGAGAATCAGCTCAGGACCTTGTGCTTGCCAGGCAGGTGCTCTGCTGCTGAGCTACATCCCCAGCCCTTGATAAGATTTGAATACTTTTAACTTTAAAAAATGTATAAATTGACAGTTTATAATTGTATATACTTAGGGGGTTAAAAGTGGGATATTGTGATATGTGAATGCAATGTGGAATAGGTAAGTTGAGCTAATTAACATATTATATTAATCACCTTAAATATTATTTTTTGTGATGAGAACATTTGAAATTTAGCAGTTTTGAAATGTACAATATACTATTGTTAACTACACACAGGTGCTAGCATGCATGCCCACACATACATATTTTAGTACTAGGGATTGAACCCAGGGAGTGCTTTTTAAAATTTTTATGTTGAGGCGGGGTCACTAAGTTGCCCATGCTGGTCCTTCTGCTTCAGCTTCTCAAGTAGCTGGGATTACAGGTATGCACTACCACACTCAGGTGTTATGAGCTACATTGACCACACTGTGCAGTTTATCTCAAAAACAAACATAAACACAACTTACTCCGTCTGTCTAAGATTTTACACCCTTTGACCATTATCTCCCAGCCCCCTGAAAACCTAGCCTCTATAACCACCATTCTACTCTCTGCATTGATTTTATTTGAGTCCACATATAAATGAGAAATTATGCCATTTGTCCTTCTATGCCTGGCTTATTTTGCTTAGCATAGTGTTCTCCAATTCTATCCATGCTTCAAATTAAAAATTTCCTTTTATAGGCCACTTAGTATTCCACTGTGTGTTTATAGTGTACACCAGATTTGCTTTGTTTGTCTCTTGAGAGATACTCAGGTCAGCTCCATAACTTGGCTCTTGTGAATAGTGCTGCAGTGAACATGGGAGTACAGACATCTCTTTGACAAGCTGATTTCACATCTTCTGGGTACATAACCAGAAATAGGATTTCTAGGTCATATGATATTTCCATTTTTAGTGTTTTAAGGTCCCTCCATGCAGGTTTGCAAAATAGCTGTACTAATTTACATTCTCTCCAGCTGCATACTAGGGTTCCCTTTTCTCCACACCCTTACTAAAGCTTACCTTCACCTTTAGACAAGTTATTCTAGTAGGTATAAATGACATTTCATTGTAATTTTAATTTGCATTTACCCATAGCAATGTTGATCATTTTTAATAAATCTATTGGCCATTTATATGTTTTCCTTTGAGAAATGTCTATTTAGGTATTTAGGACTCTTGCCCACTTTTTTTTTCTTTTGGTATCAGAGATCGAACTCAGGACATTGTGCTTACGAGGCAGGCAGTGGAACCACTGAGCTAAATCCCTGGCCCACTTGCCGACTTTTTTAATGGTGATATGGAGGTCTTTTTGCTGTTAAGATTTTTAAAAAATTTTTTGGAGATAGGGTCTCACTCTGTAGTTCAGGCTGGCCTTGAATTCACTGTTGCCCAGGGTGGCCTCAAACTAGTGCAGTCTTTTTGCCTCAGCCTCCCAAGTGCCATGATTACAGGCATGTACCTCCATCCCAGGGAATCCTGTAAATTTTTTTTTTTTTTTTTTTTTGAGACAGGGTCTCACTATGTAGTTGAGTCTGACCTGGAACTCACTATGTAGCCCAGGCTGGTCTCGAACTCACAGTGATCCTCCTGCCTCCGCCTCCCAAGTGGTGGGATTATAGGCGTGTACCACCATGCCTGGCTACAATTTTTTTTTTTGAGACAAGGTCTTGCTGTATAGTTCAGCGTGGCCTTGAACTCACTGTATCCCAGGCTGGTTTTAAACTCTCAAGGTGATCCTCCTGCCTCAGTCTCCCAAGTGCTGGGATTATAGGCTTGTGCCACCATGCTCAGCCCTGTGGACATTTCTTATAAGTGGAATTATATGATAAAAAATCTGTGACTGGCTCCTTTGACTTAGCATGTTTTCAGAGTTCACCTGTGTTGTATATAGCATTTCTTTTTTTGGCCAAATAACATTCTGGTGTGTGACTATACTATATTTAACGTACCCATTCATCATTTGATAGACATTTTGATTTTTCCACTTTGGGGTAATTGTTAATAATGCTGCCGTGAACATCTGTATACAACTTTTTGTATGGACATGTTTCTTTTTTTTTTTTGGCTGGGAATCCCAGTGAAATTGCTACATCATATTTGATTGCTCTATTTAACATTTTGAAGAGCTTCTATATTGTTCTCTAAAGTAAGCATCTCTCATCTCTGTCCAGTGCTGGAACAAGTAAAGGTAAACACACAGGTCCCCCATCAGACGTGTGGTTTATACATATTTCCTCCCATTCATGCAGGGTTTTACCCTTTCTATTTGATAGTATTTACAGCACAAAATTTTTGAATTTTGGTGAATTCCAATATATATTTTTTCTTTTGTCACTCTGTGTTTTTTTGGGTTTTTGTTATTGTTGTTTGTTTTTGTTTTTTGTTTTTTGTTTTTGACAGGGTCTCGCTATGTAGTTGAGACTGACCTGGAACTCACTATGTAGCCAGCCTAGTCTCGAACTCACAGCAATCCTCCTGCCTCAGCCTCCCGAGTGCTGGGATTACAGGCATGCACCACCATGCCCATCTTGTCACTCTGGTTTTAATGTCATGGTTAAGAAACCACGCTGCCCAATCCAAGATCAGAAAGACTGTTCTATACTATCTTCTTAGGGTTTTACAGTTTTAATTACAGCATTTAGGTTTCCTTTTGAGCTAAATTTTTATTGATAGAGATTTGAGTGATGTAAAATATTGTCTCACTCTTGTCCTTGGGCTGAATATCCTATTTTTACTCTTTTTTTATCCTGGGCTGGGGATTTAGCTCAGCAGTTCCGCCACCTACCTTGCAAGAGCAAGGACCCAAGTTTGATCCCCGGTACCAAAAAAAAAAAAGAAAAAGAAACTACTCTTTATTACCCAGAGGGAGGCCAAAAGGAGGAATAAGGCACCAGGTGTATTGCCAAGTGAGATTACCATCAGATCCCCAGTATCCTATCTCCCACTCTAAATTTGAGCAAAACTTTCAATCTTGTCTATTTCACAATGGTTTAGAATATTATGAGTGTTAGGGGCTTTCATAGAACCCAGTTCTGCGCGTTATGGTTTGCTTGTTTTTGGTACTGGGAATCAAACTTGGGTCCTTGCACTTGCAAGGCAGGCAGCAGCACCACTGAGCTAAATCTCTGGCCCTATGTTAATGTTAATTGTAACTGGAGGACATGTGTGATGTGCTGTCTGTTTTTTCTCCTCAGGGGTCTCTCTCTTTGGTGTGTCGGCACTGCTGCTCCCTGGGAATTTTGAGTCTTATTTGGAATTTGTGAAGTCGTTGTGTCTGGGGCCAGCACTGATCTACACAGCTAAGTTTGCGCTTGTCTTCCCACTTATGTATCACACCTGGAATGGGATCCGTCACTTGGTAAATTAATTGTGGATTTGCATATTTTCTGAGTGGAAGTATTAGTCACTTACTGTGATGCTATAATCTCAGCATTTAAGAGGCCAAGGCAGTGTAACAGTGTAATCTTTTGGGATCACAGAAAGTCAAGGATTGAATTCAAGAACAAAGGAGGTAGATGGGAGAAATGTTTATTAAGAAGAGAGACATAGATCCCAATAGCCAGGATGGGACCCCAAGGGGACTTTGTCGAGGAGTTTTTATATGAAAAGACGAGTAGGGCCTCACACTGCTCTGAGTCAAACTAAGGTCAACCTTTTAGACTAAAACAAGCTTAAACTAGAAATGAGCTGGGTGTGCTGGCACATGCCTACAGTCCCAGCACTTTAGAGGTTAAGGCAGGAGGTTTGCCATGAGGCCAGCCTGAGCAACATAGAAGACCCTGTCTCTAGAATGTGCCTATGAGGAGTCAAGGCATGTAGCAAATGTATGTTTGCAGGTGCCTCTTGGTCACTCTCCTATACAAGTGATTTATTAAAGAACAAAGTGAAAAGGAGAAACCATTTTCCAGATAGGTAGGAGCAGAAGTTGTCACAGTGGTTACCCATCACCTTGCTTATTACCTCACTTGTTACATCCCTGGACTTAATTGTCCCCCTGGTTCTTCTTAACTCTTGACCTCAGGCACCTGACGAGGGCGTGGTTATCCTGACTCTCTCTACCTTGGGCCTAGTGCTTCTCTAGCTGCCTTCTGTCTTCTACCTAACTTGTCTGTCTATAATAGCAAGATGATCACTTTTCTTCAAGGCTAGCCTGGGCTACATAGTGAGTTCAAGACCAGACTAGGCTACATAGCAAGAACCTCTTTCTCTCAAACAAATAAATATGCACACTCATAAAACAAAAAATAATTCTGGGTGAAGAGAGGACAAAGGCTAGGAGGATTTTTTTTCCGTCTTTTTTGCTCCTCCTCCTCCTTTCTTTTTCTTTTCTTTTCTTTCTTTCTTTCTTTCTTTCTTTCTTTCTTTCTTTCTTTCTTTTTTTTTTTTTTTGTGCACAAGGTGAATACTGAACCCAGGCCTCAAAAATGCTAATTAAGCAAATGCTGTACCACTTAGCTATTCCCCCCACCCGTACCTAGTGTTATTTATAAGATTGGTTGTGCTGAACCTTTATTCAAGGTCATCTTGGGAAAAGATAAACAAAACCCTTTTTACCTTAATGGGCATAAGTCAAGCAGATATTTACAGTCTCATTAAGAACTTTTCCAGTCTGAAGAGGGATGTTATTAAAAGCAACCGCTGAAACTAGGTCATATGTCTGGCATAGAAGGCATATTTATTAGGTTAATATGAATTGGTACTTTTATGTGTCAAGCACTGTTCTAGACACTGGAGGGTCAGTTATGAGCTCCGTACACACATGTGCTGCTTTCAACCTAACATTCCTATCAACTCAGAGTAACAAGTCTTCCTGGACTCAAATATATTAACTTTTGTTATCTTAATATTAGATTTTGTTAACCATTTCTGTTCCTTTTGCTTGATTTGTGAAAACAGGAACAACTTTAACAGAGACCAGGTATCAGTGATCCCAGGTTTTATTTATTTATATTTTGGTACCGGGGATTGAACTTGGGTCCTTGCACTTGTGAGGTAGGTGCTGGAACCACTGAACTAAATCCCTAGCCCTGAGCCCAGGTTTTAATCTTGGGTCTAGGAGTCTTGTGGTGGACTGAAAACTGTCTGTGTTACCTCCTGCATGACTTTGGTGTCAGTCCATAACTGATGTCTCTGTGTCTCTTAATCAGACCTGTCCCAGGTAAAGATCAGTCCATCATTCAGTACTTTAAGAGTTCACAAATTTGTAGTCTCTCTACCCCAGTCTTATTCCTTCCCCAAGAAGACAATTAAAATTTTCTTCTTACTACTTTTCTGTTACTTCTGATTCTGAGCCATCTGTTTTGCCTTAATTTGATCCTTTATAACTTCTGCATCACAGCCTTAGGGACAGGCACTTCTGGATTTCAGTCTGGTCCAATAGAAACTTAGTGACATTAAAAAAAAACAGCATCTAAATGACCTATTAAATTAAATTAAGTGTATCTATCAATTGTTCCCTGAGGTGGTATTTGGTTTGATTTAAAAGGACTTCTCACTTCCCTGGGGGAAGAGAATGGAGAGGGAGAGCATTTCCATTAATGACTTCTTATTCCACAGAACAAAGCTCTCCAAAGAAAATCAGCTGATCAGCTCCTCTGTTCACATCCCAGCTCAGCCACCGATTTGCCATATGTTTGCTTTTGTCTCAGTATGGGGGGAGGGAAGAGAGAGAGGTTTTATGAAATCCCAGGCCTCAGTCTGTGCTTTATTGCCCCAGTTTCTGTCTATGATGGTAATCTCTTTCTTGAGATAAGTGAGGATACGAAAGGTTTTTCTTAAGCCTTTAAATCTGCTTTTTTCTTCTAACAAGGACTGGCTCTGGGTATGGGTCAGACTTACTGTTTCCTGGGAAAGTCTGGCTTTGGCCTCTGAGCTCAGAAATCTCTTTGCCAGCAGAGCTAACGGGGGCTGGAGAGTAGAACTGTTGTAAAAGTGGGTGCATTCTAGAAACTTTTCTCCCTGCCACCTCTACTCAGTGGTCAGTTTGTAGGAGTCTGTTGTAAAACACTGCCTCCAGGAACAAATCAGCTCTCTGTGGAACATGCTTGACTCCTGATCTGACCTAGGGATCAGGGTGAAGACATCTTCTCACCTTGTTCCCCACCACCACAGCTTTTCTCTAAAGTGACTCCTAGGTCAGTCAGTTTTGTATGCAGAGTATCGTACAGGCTTTGTGTGTGTGTGTTGAGGCAGCTGTGTGTGGAAAATGTGGAACCTAAACACTTTACTTTTGCCCTTTGGGCTCTTTTAGTGCTGTAGATTATATAGTGGTAACTTGGTTCATGAATTGATTTGTTCCATGATTCTGGAAAAGATGACCATGTTTGTGCAGGAAAGATGGCTGTAGTTGTGTTTGTCTCATGATGCAGAGTTCACAAACAAAAAATTTTTCTAAACACTTTCGTATGAAAAACCAAATTCTTCCCAAACAAAAGCATTCATGAACTGAGGTACCACTGTATTGTATTAATAATCCCAGAGCACAAGGGAGTCTAGATTAGTGGGTTTCTAAGAAAAAAAAAGAAATGAAAATAGAACAGAAAATACAGAATGCAGCACATATTAGTAATGGTAAATATTGTTTATTGTTTCATGAATTTTTGCTACATTATGTATTCATCTCTACAGGGTTCCAGTTTAAAAGATATTTCTTAGGTTATGGTTGAAACAAATTTGAGAAATAGTGTTCTCTTTAAAAAGGAATTCTGTGAGTGACTATATCATGAATATTACATTCCTTTTTGGAGATTGGTGGTGTGCTTTCCTAAATTGAGAGTCTGGCCGTTAAATGCTTACCAAAGTTGTATGAGCGCAGAACTTTTCCCCCTATGAGGCCTTACAGCATTATACAAAACCAAGTCAAGGGTCGGGGATTAGCTCAGTGGTGCCACCGCCTGCCTCACAAGTGCAAGGTCCTGAGTTTGATCCCAATACAAAAAAAAAAACCCAAATCTTGGGGAAACACGTTTTGAGCAAACATTGACCTAGGTGTGTTATCATGAGGAAATGTTGTGTCCTTTAGTCTGGAAACTTTTGTACATAGAGCTTGGTATTCTAGAAAATATTCCCCACCACACAATAAGACTAGATTTTCTGTCACTGGCATAGTGGGTGAAGTATTGCGGGTTTTGAAAAGAATGAAGGTAAAACTTATGGATATGAGTGCTTTTCTCTAGAATCATGCCTACAGGGAGAGCTAGTTGAAATAGGTAGAGAAATTGAGAGACAGGAACTGCGAGAGTGACCAGGGTCCTGATTAATGATATTTGTTTGTTTTTTCCCTTTGTCTACAGATGTGGGACCTAGGAAAAGGCCTGAAGACTGCCCACCTCTACCAGTCAGGGGTGGCTATCTTGGTTCTTACTGTGTTGTCCTCTGCAGGACTGGCAGCCATGTGAAGAGCTGAAGGTCCCAGCATCATCTTCCTACAAATTGATTGTCACAGGCTGCTTTACCTTCCTGTTCATCACTCATCTCCAGCCAACAAAGTTATCTGATCTGTTTCTATCCTTTTATGTTTGCAGATGCCCCTGGAGCTCAGACTGGCTTATAAAACCACAGTAATAAAAAGGGTCCAGTTTTTCCCTTGTTTCTCACGATGGAATGGCTATAAAAACGCCCTTTTCTTGCCCACAGCTGACAGCCTACTCTGGGCCTTGAAGCCCTTATTTTCTCTCTACATTGGGCTTTGATTTGTGCTGAGGGTCAGCTTTTGGCTCCTTCTTCCTGGGACAGTGGAAACAATGCCAGCTCTGTGGCTTCTGCCACAGGGACTGGGAGTGAGGCTCTGGGTGCCACTGCCTGTGGGTTGCTGGCTTAAAGGACGGTTCTGTTCATTGGTCAGAGTGCAGGGTCTTTAGCACCCACACAGTATGACTGGAAGAGGGGAGGTGGGGATGGAAGGGAATTGTCCAGGCCCAGCCAGAGGGAGATAAAAAAGAGGAATTGGTTCTTAGAGCAGGTGCCTAGGAAGAAGATATCTGGCTTCTGATGGAAGAGGAAGATCCAGAAAGTTATCATTAGCTATTTTAAGGTGTTTTTGTCTCTTTGGTTGGTTTTTGTTTTGTTTTTGCATTTATCAAAAGAAAACCCTTCTAATGTCGTGTTTTCTAATCCAAATTCATGTTCCATCTTTTCTGAAACAATTAAAATACTTATTTTATCTTTGACTCTCCTTTAAGTCTCCAGAAATCAAGAGGATAGTTCAGGCACACCCCCCCCCCACCAGGTCCTTTCCCAAGAGGGAAACAGTTTGTTCTACAACTGACCCACTGGAAAAATGTTCAGAGAATCAGATACAGGTAGCCAGAGATTTAACTATGGAGAAGCCTCAGAAAAGGCAAGACGAAGAAAAAGTTAAGCATCTAGAGAGTTTTTAGGTTATTGCAGACTCCATAGTCCCACTGAGAATCAATTATATGCCTCCTGGTGTAGTTCAGCAAATTATCTAGAGGGTGACATAGGGTCAGTGGAGGTAATAGCAAAGGGATGCTTATCTAAGGTTAATAGATATGAGGAGAGAAGGATTATGGAAATCATATCAAAAAGTTATAATGGGCCAGGCAGGCATGGTGGTGCACGCTTGTAATCCCAGCACTTTGGAGGCTGAGGCAGGAAGATGTCTGCAAGTTCGAGGCCAGCCTGGGCTACATAGCGAGACCCTATCTCAAAACAAGCAAAGCCAGGTGTCGTGGTGCACACCTGTATTCCCAGCACTTGGGAGGCTGAGGCAGGAGGATCGCTATGAGTTTGAGACCAGCCTGGTCTACACAGTGAGTACCAGGGCAGTCTGAAGTAGATAGTGAGGCCTTGGCCCTGTCTCAGAACAAACAAGCAAAAATTATAATGGGAAAATGCTGCTTTTATAATCCATATAGGTCGGGCTTTTGGGTCCCTCAGTCCCTTGGCAGGGGCACTGTCCTGATAATCTTTGCAAACTCGAGAAGAGATCTATCTTCTTGTCCTTCTGAGTTGGCCAGCTAGTTAACTGTGGCTTGGAGAAGAATGACTGTGGCATTAGCTGTTGTCACTTGGGCAAGAAGACCTTGCTTAAGGTAATATAGTGGGATCGGCTGCCTCCCCATTCTATCCCACAGAGTCTGGCCCTTTTTTTTTATTATTATTTTTTATTGATTGATTGATTAAGACAGGGTCTCACTATGTAGTGACACTGACCAGGAACTCACTGTGTAGTCCACGCTGGTCTCAGACTCAGAGTGATCCTCCTGTCTCAGCCTTCTGAGTGCTGGGATTGCAGGCGTGCGCCACCATGCCTGGCTAGCCCTTATTGATAGATGGGTCTCTGGTAGTCTCCCTCCCGCTTAACCTACTCTCCTCTACTTTGTCCTCTGAGTGAGGGACAAGTGTTCACAGGGAACTCTTTGGTATTAGAACTGGGAAAACATTTGGCAGGGACATTAAATGTAACAGCCAGTGCCAGGAAGATGCAGGATGGGATAAACATATTTTGGGAGGTGGAAAATTGGGGACATTTTGACTTTTTTGGGGTAGCTTTTTACCATTCAAGCAACTGAAGGAGGAAGGGGGTAGATAGAGTATAGTGTTTCTCTGCCCTAAATTTCTACTTAACATCTCATGTTACTTCTGTGTCTTCTATTCATTCCATATCTTCGGTTTTCAAAGCATATGTACTTTTGCTTAGATGTAAAGTCTTAAATAGACAAGGATAGAGTCTTCTGGCTTTGATCTGGTGGGGTGGGGTTGTACTGGAGTTCAAACCCAGGACCTCACACATTCTAGACAAGTGCTGTACCATAGAGCTACACTCCCAGCTCCTGCATCCCTTCTACACACTTTTCCTAAACAGTTTTAATTTTGAAGTTGTTAGCTGTGCATACTCAGGATGAAAAATGAATGGTTTAAGAAAAAGGACTAATTCTTTAATGCCTTTTTGCTGTGACCAGACCGGTTTTCTCTTGGTCATTTCTGAAATATAACTGACTCAATCCTTGTTAAAATGTGTTACACCTCAACCACTGTAGTGTTATTTTCCCTACTCTATTTTCCCCAACCCTCGTAACTGATTTGTGAGAGGCAGCCGTAGCAGGTGAAAATCTAGTAAGAGTCAACAATGTTTATTATCCAAATTTGCCTTTACTCATCCCAGTAATTTCTGTTCCACATTCTGACCCAGGGATCATGTTTACTTCAGTTCAGACGGGACAGACTTTCTCAGGGTGGGCCCTTGATCCACTCTGAAGGTCCAGGTTTGCAGAACCAGCTGGAGTAGGACCTGCTTCTAGGCACACAGGGCTTCCCAGTGGACTTGCAGAAGAGTTGCATGGGGTTTGGGGGCCTGGAGTATGACCTGCAGAGGGGTGTGAACTTCTGGATTCATCTAGGGAGTCAGGATTAGCAGATGGGGAACTTGGAATTATGGTTGGACACGGTGCTTGTTGTATCATCTTTGTGGTAGATTTCTTCCTGAGATTCTTCTGACTGTCTGGATCATGGGGCTGTCGGGTAGAGTGGAAGAGATGTTTTAGCCAGATCCAGATGACTCCCAGTCCACCACATAATTCTAACTCCATCTTCTCGTACCATGGGAAAATAGTTAAATTTGATTCTCCTAACCTTCCCTTGCTATTAGCTTATTTTCTGTGATGGGGGAGGGAAAGTAAAATGTCCTTAGTTTATCCCGTCAGGCCTGGGAAGGTGATTAGGGATTAGATAAAACGGATTTGGTCGGAGGTTCTCCCTGCTAGGAGAGAGGTGGCATAACAGACATCTTTTGAGGTTGAAAGGAGATGGAGACAAGAGGTTTTGAGGTTAGATGAGAGTAGATACCTTGCCGAAGATTTCAGGGCACAGCCCATTAGAGGCCTTGAGTAAATCAGGGTTTTTCTGTATCCATTTGGTAATCGAGGCGGCACCAGCAGTTGTCCGGGCAGTCAGGGACACCCGAGCAGGGGGTATTTTCAGAGGCATTTGCCAGGTGCCCATGAAGGAACCCCAAGGACTTGCCTGAAAGGAAAAGGGATTCCTCAGAGGCTTCTCACTGTGGTCACTGTGCCATTGGCAGGACTTTATTCACCATACTGCCATTCTTAAACCTTTGGGAATACATGGTAGTGAAACAAGGTGAAAGTAAATCTCCCCCACTCCTCTCCCTCATTTAGGTTACCCTGATATTTTTTATCTCCTTCCCTCAGCAAATTTAATTCTACATTTTAAGGCTACTTGTGTGGCAGAGGAGCACTGCACAGGCATCATCACCTGAAGACATTCTAAATGCAGATCATTCATCGGTGTAAGGACTGTGTGCTAAGCACAACTCTGCCCTGTACCGGGAATCGGACTGAGGACCTTGGGCTTGTGAGGGAGGCGGCGGAACCACTAGTTCTTTACCTTTTCTGATGGGAGTAGGAACAGATGTCTCACCTTGGAACGGGGCACAGAAGGCAACAGATGACCACGCTCATTGGCGATAATCTGAGTGTAACCCTCGTGGGAAGAGATCCTCTGGGGTAGAGGAAGGGGGAGAAGTAAGTGCTTGTGAGTGAAAAGAAGACAACAGCAACAAAACGGGAAGAAGTATCCGAGGGCCTTGAATGAAGGGCAGGGGGGAGGAGAAAATGAACACTTAAAGCTAAAAGGAGTTAGGTGTCAGGGAATTACAAAGAACACGATGTAAAGAACCGTACACTGGCCTTGTAGGGGTGCTGAATCTAGAATACCTCTTTTACCGGCTTGGCAGGAGACCAGTTCTGCAGATACTTGGGTGAGAAAGCTTTTTCATACTGCGGAGAGAAAGATGAGCAGCCCTGTGAGGCCAAAGCCCAGCCCAGGGAGTGATGTGGCACAGTTCCTTACACTTGAAGACCAAAGACTCAGACCTTATGGACACTGACTGACTCTACTGAGGTGTGGTCTGGCCCAGGTCCGTGCTGTCCCACGAGCAGCCAGTGCCACGTGTAGCTGTTGAGCACTCGAAATTTGCCTCGTCCAAACTGAGGGGCTTGGTATAGCACACTGGAGTTTGAGGACTTAGAACCAAAGTGATGTAAAATATGAAATCATCATGTAAAAAATTTGAGTAAAAGTTGAAATGTTTTGCATTGACTGTGTTAAATATATTGAGTTGGGCATGGTGGTGCTTGCCTCAATCTCAGCACTTGGGAGGTTGAGCCAGAAGGATATGCATGAAGGAAGCCAGTCAGGACTATATAGCAAGTTCAAGGCCATACTAGATTACATATGACTCTCTCTCTCTCTCTCTCTCTCTCTCTCTCTCT